GCTTCTTGCAGGCAAGCTAGTCCTACAATCTCTTCCCTACAGGAGAAGGGGCACTACGGCCCGCATCGGGGGTCAGTTCATGGTGTTTCCCTACAGGCTTTGCTATGATGCTCGCAGTAAGGGATTAAAATGAGCTACCAAGAGAGAAGGTACAAAATGTTGACTATCAAACTGACTGAGGGTTGAGACTGTAGCTCAGTGATACAGTGCTTGCCCAGCACACACAAAGCCATGGTGTCCATGCACAGTACCACCGCAATATTTTAAAGGAAGCTGATCATCGTCAATAGTTAGGGATCCCATACAACTCCTAACCCCTGTTACAACTGTGCACAGGCGGGGTATCTTACAGCCAGCACTGTCACTGCTCCCTGAGCACCCTGTACGTCCTTCCTTTGCCCTGGCCAGGCTCAGGCAATTCATGACCTTCTAGTGTTCTTGGTTCTCCTGAGACTACAACTCCTGCTGGCTGCCAGCCCCCGTCACTGAAGGGGAAGTTTGTATTTGAATTTCTTACATTGCTCCTACGGAGATGTCACTTGCCACACTTAACTGAGTCCTTAATACCCTTTATATTTAAGTCCCATCGCGAGCTGACATACAACAGCGAGGAGAAGATGCTCCAATGAGACTGAGGTGGTCCTGTGGACAGTTGTCCGTGGTGAGTGAATTGGTCACACAAGCATCTCCCAGCACTGGTTTTTCTTGTCCCCTCTGAAATCCTCGGCAGTTTCTTTTGCTTCCAGCTGTGCTGTCGACTTCTGAAGACCGTTTCCACCACTTCTCTCACTAATGAGTCATGCCGTGCCTCCACATTGTGTCCTCTAACGTGCGTGATTCAGAGGAGGATGGAGAAGTCACCTTGAGCAAACCGAGCCAGTGGGTGCCCACGGAACCTGAGATTCTGTTATTCTAATGAATGTCCAGGCAATCCTGTTGTGCCCTTGCCTGGGTACACTTGGGCTGGCAAAGCTGTAAAACCCTTGATTTGTTTTTGCAAGGAATTATGTGATCGTAATTTTTTTTTTTTTGTAATGAATATCCACTCCACACATAACACCCTGTAGGGTACGGCTCTGGCTCCTCACCTCCCTGAACACCCTGGAAGTTCTCCTGTCAGTGTGAAGCCCCAGGATGATCTTTCTGGAGCCACTTTACAAGGCAATTAGACTCATACACGTAGTTGAAACAAAACACACAGCGCTGGGAAAGTGATGGCAGCGGGAGCAGCAACCGGGAGCAAGCTTGCACACACAGGCAGTGACAAGCGCGCCACGTGCACGTCTGTGGGTCACATGCACGCCTGGAGGACAGCGACTGTGAATGCTTGAGATTAGAGAATGGGTTCCAATTTTAGAGAGTGCAGAGATGTGAAGAGGCGAAAGGTCGTGCCTCTTAGAATCGATGCTAAATGCCAAGCCATTCAGCCTTTCCGCTTCTCCTGCTTCTTTCTCAACTTAAAGCGTTTTCTCCAGGGACTGATTGTACTGCTGATTTGATGGTGGATGATTGAATGGTGACTTTGGTTTTTAGGGAGTGAATTATGTGCCCCACCCTGCTCTATTCAGATTTCTGCCTGAGTCTTTGGGGCAGCGCTCACCTAAGAACTAGCTGGAGATTCTCCGTCCTGAGGCTGCCTGTCACTTTCCAGGCAAGACGCTTATCAGCTCCCTCAGAAGCCCCTGGATTATATAGCTCTCTGGATACTTCTCTGGCACAGCGGGCCTTCTGGGAGCCAGCAAAGCGAGTGTCCTGCTGGGATGCAATGCTCCTTGCTTTAGTAATGTGCTGAACCCAGTAAGCGATGATTGCCTGCAGAAAGTCAATGGAGTGCTTTGCAGGGATAAGCCACACGGGTCAGTGATGCCCGGAATTCTCCGGTGAGAGAGGATGCCTGGCTCCAAGGAGACTGAATTGCACTGTGCTTCACACAGCTGGAGGAGGGGAAGCTGGAGTGGCAATTCCCACTAGTTTTATCAGGAATTTTTCTCACCACTGGCCCAGAGCACAATATCACTGGAAAGGGGAGACAACATAAATAAACATGGGAAGAATTTAAATCACTTACATAGCTCCCCAAATATTTTCCATATAGAAACATTTCGGTTTCCAGGATTTTTTTCCCAATTGTTTTATTGTTCGAAAATACACAGATAACATTTATTATTGAAACTATTTTTAACTGAACAATTCAGTGATGCAAAAATATTTATAATGTTGTGTAACCATCACCACCATCCACCTTTGTAAAGTTTTTTATCTGATAAACTGACGTCCAAAACCTATTAATAATAGCACCTTTATTTCCCTTTCCCTTTATCCCTGGCAAACATCAGTCTGGTATAATTGTCTTTTCCAAAAGAAACATTTAGAGAATGAAATAGCTGAATATTTTTATAGATGCTTAGAATTTGGAGGATTGGCATAATCATTTTTTATCTAATTAAGATGTAGTGTGATATTTTAACTTATGCACTGATCTGATCAGGGTGATTAGCAGCTCCCTGTCCTTATCATTTACTTATATCTGGAAACTTGCAAGAGGAACCACTTCCTTCTCGCTTTAACTTCAGAACTCAGGATGCTGCATCTTCAAGGATGACCAGACAAAATTAGTCTGGCTTCAAATTTTTGTAACATGACTAAAACATTCATCTGATTAAGACAGGCTAATCTCAAATAATCTTTCTATTCATTAACTTAAAGTCAACCCAGTAGGAATCTCAGTTGCACCTTCAAAATTGCCTCTGCCATAAATGATCACAATGTGACATTTCATCACAGTTACAAATCTTGCTCACACCCAAGGGGCAAAGACTACATAGGACTTTAAATAAGAGGCAAAATTCGGGGTCCTTGTTAGAGTTCTACCTGCCATATAAAGTAAAGCATATTTATCCATCTAGCAATTTGAGATCTCTGCAAGGTAAATAAATATCAGAGGGCATGTCAGGAAAGGACACCAAAATAAACCCAACTGCTCAAAGCAAGAAGAAAGCTCAGAGAACTATAAGCAAAATATCAAAGGTACAACTCAAAACTGGATGTCAGACAACTTGTTACAAACATGCCTACTCACATGGGGAAGAGCAATCAACATGTGTGGTGGTAGATAGCATAGATACTGAAACATCCATGGTATATGAGGAAACTCAAAAAATTATTATCTCTCTCTCTCCCTTCTGCCCCATGTACGCACGTGTGTGTGTGTGTGTGTGTGTGTGTGTGTGTGTGTGTGTGTGTGTGTTTGAGACAGGGTATCATGTAGCCAGGTTAGCCTTGGACTCCTTTTCCTCCCTCCTCTACTTCTGAGTATTCTTTTATACTTTTAACTTTGAATTTAATTTGCATTTCTATTTTTCCATGAAGTGTCTTAAGGTTTTATAGAGGATAATATAATTCATTTCAGAACCATCCTGTTCAGGGGCTGGTGGGATGGTGTGGTTAATGTACCTACCATGTAAGCATGCAGACCTGAGTTTGGATGCCCAAGTTACCCATAAAAATTGGGCGTGGCAGTTTGTCCCAACACTGAGATGACTGAGACAGACTAATTCCTAGAGATCATTGGCTTTGCCAGCTTAGCCAATTCGAGAGCTATGGGCTTAGTAATAGACTTTATGTTATATATATAGTATAAAGTGTTTGGAAAAGACACCTAATATCAACCTCTGGCCTTCATACCCACATACACACATGCAAACATGCATCCTCATGTCTATTCACATGTACCATATAATACACACGTGATATTTACATTTTTATTATTATTGTATGTGGCCGTGAGTTGTGTGTTGGCTGCAGGACAACTTTGAAGACTCAGCTCTTTCCTTTCCCTTCTATAGTGGTTCTAGCGATCAAAATCTGGTCAGGGGTTTTGTAGCAAGTGCCTTACCTAATGAGTGATGTGGTCTCACATACATGCCTTAAAGGATTTTTGTTTTTAAAGTAACTTTCTAGATAATGTTTTTAAATTTTCCTTAGTGTGGTTTATACCATCCTGACGGTTTTGGCTTCTCCATGTTCATTCAACTGGAAACACTTTACAATTTCACATTTGATTTTTTTTTTCTGTCTTAGTTGGTGTTTCTATTCTTGTGAAGAGACACAATGACCACAGCAACTTTTATAAAGGAAAACATTTAATTGGAGCTGGCTTCAGAGGTTTAGTCCATTGTCATCGTGGGAGAAAGGACGGTGGCAGGCAGACATGTTGCTGGAGAGGTATCTGGGAGTTCTACACCCAAATCGGCAGGTACACAAAGTGGCGTTGGGCCTGGCTTACACGTGTGAAACATCAAAGCCCACACCCAGTGACCCACTTCCTCCAACAAGGCCGCACCTAGTCCAACAAGGCCACATCTCTTAAATTTTGTCACTCCCTGTGAGCCCAACGGGGACATTTTCGTTCAAACCACCACACCTTCTTTGACCCATTTGCTGTTCCTAAGTTTGTTGTTTGGTTCCCACCATTAAAACGTCTACCAGTCGCTAAAGGTGAGTTTTGGTCTGAGTCCATGCTGGCTAGAAAGCACATCTGCATGGGCCTGAATACTTCCAAATTGATTGTCAACTGTTTTACAACCCAGGATGTGACCTACTTTCCTAAATCCTCTGTGTCCATGTGAAAACTTCATTTTCCTGTTGTTAAATGAAGTGTTTTATAGATGGGAATTAGGATTAATTGGTTAATAGTGACTTTCGACCTTTGATAGGCTTGCTGACTTTCTCTCAACTTGTTCTAGCATTTGCTGTGAGACAATCAGCCAGCTGCTAAGTATAGTTTGTGACTGGTTGACTCGCTCTGGGTTTCCTAAGACTCTGACATGTGGTGAGAAGCTCTGCCGTGTGTGCGTTGTTTTGTTATACTGGTAATGCCAATACAGCTTTTTTCATTAGCTTTAGCTGAGTGTTCCATTTTATCTTTTAAGCCCTGGCCTATTTGTGCTATAATAAAGAACACACACAAATAGCATTCACTTCAGAGTCTTGTTTTTCAATTTAGTTTGACAGTTTGAACAGATTAGATCACACAGTTAGTGGATAATTGATACGATTAGATTTCAGTCTGTTATCTTGTAAGAACTCCTTCTCTGAGGTCTCACTTGACTTCAGTCCTCAGCACAAACCAGGGTGATGACACCCAGGTCTGTAATCACAGCTCCTCAGAGTAGAACCTGGGGGATCATAGAATGTGCGGTCATCCTCGGTCTTCTCTAGTACCCAGCCGACTTGGGTTAGTTGAGATGCTATCTCCAAATAATTGTTAAATTTTACATCCCATGCCCTTCTAAGTAGCACGAGGTAGGCTCATGCCCCACTGAACTTCCCACCTCCCTGTTACTTCCTCAGTAGTTATTTCAGTTCCTCGGTCCCATGCTAACACAATGCTGGGCTGGAGCCATTCTTCTACTACTTAATAATGGCTAACACATGAGAGCACTGGGCTGGTGCTTTGCTACAGAACATTAGTGTAGTTGTTCTATATTCTTATAAGGTAGCATTGGTCATCTCTTATTGTGCCTAACCTATGAATTAAACTTCATCACGGTATAGACATCTACAGACAGAAGAACTATGAGTCAAGTTTAGTATGATCCCAGGCTTCAGCATCCCCTGGGGGCCCGGCAGCACATCTTCCAAGGACAAGGGAGGACAGCAGCCTGTGTTGTTTGGATGTCCAGTCTCTTCCTTGCCAGCTTTTTCCTGTTCTTCTTTGTTTCATTTTGAATTAACTCAGGGCTCTCTGTGTGTGTGTGTGTGTGTGTGTGTGTGTGTTTTGTTTTTATTTTGTTTATTTTTATTGTTGGTTTCTCAACTGTAAATCTTTGTCTGGGTGTTTTGTGGCATAATGTATTTTATAGAGTTTACACTATGAAGTACATACCTCAGATTTATTGTTGCTGGGCTATGGCAATCTACTGCTTCATGTGCAGTGTAAAAGCTAAAATAGAAAATTTTCATCTCTATTATCATATATTTTACTTATATATAAATTATAAGCTCCATAATACATTCCTTTTATTTAAACATTGAATTATTTTATAAAGTGTCTAATAATAAAAAATCTCATATTTGTCATGTAAGTATATTTTAATTTCTTTGTATAGATTCTGTTCAGTATTATTTTCTTGCTGCTAAGATTATTTCCTTCTAAACTTTTTTGTTCTATAGGCTTACTGATGAAGTCTTTCAGTTTTCATGTATTTGAAAACATCTGTAATTACTTTTTTTTCCAGAGTGAATCTTGCATGCTGCAATTACCATCCTGTTTAATGTCTAGATTATATTTCTAACCACAATTCCAAACTGTCAAATCCATTGCTTATGTGATATTTAATCTATGACTACTCTCATGGTTTATTTTTCCTTTCGGCCACTGTAGTTATCATCCATGCAAGTTCAATTTGAGTATGGTTTTTGAAATGATCTTTTATCTATACCTACCTTTTTGAATATTCAAAATATTTCAAAACGGTTATAATAACTGTTACAGTGTTGATCTGCAGACTCAATGGGGAGATAGCTAGTGCAGATGCCTTATGTGATGGAACTCTTGGGACATAAGGCCTGGTTGGTACATGTTGGTCCCTGTGGAATGTGGAACTTTAGGGTTTATGACCTAATCTGATTTTTAGTCTGTTTTTTTTCCTGATTCACTAAAATGAAGACACCACGTGTCAAGCTACCACCCCCATCAGTATCTATATCCCATGACTGAGTCAATACCTCCGAGACTGTGAGCCAAAATGAAACTCTCCTCTTTTACCTCTGCCATGTATGTTGCCACAGCGATAAGAAGAGGATCCATGCCAATGTGCTTGCTGCTGACACTAACACCTCTCAGTTCTGAGTCAGTTTTGACTCATAGACGATCATGTTTTTCTTATACTTTGAATATCTGGTAATAGGGCATTAGATGCCAGGCATTGGGTGACTGGATGCTGAGTGATTTGGTTTCTCTATCTTGGACTTTTCTCTGGAGGCAACTGAGTTATTGAGAAAAAGGTCGAAGCTCTCGAGTACAGACTTGTGAAGTGGATCTGTCTGGAGCCATGTTTGGTCTGGGGGGTGATTATTTCCCACTACCAAGTAATGGACTCTACAGATATTCTTTCTACTATGCCTCAAACTTGATTTTTTTCCCCAATTCGGTGAAGGGGGCTATATTCTTGACTTCTGATTAACAGTGGCTGCTATTATCTAATATAAGCCTTTCAAAGCTCCCCCTTTAGCACTGTATGGTATCTTCATATGCATGAGATGAAGACTCAGCTGATACAAGGGAATGCTTCCACACCTCCAGGCTTCACTCTATGCCCCCATCTCTTCTCTGGCTCTCTTTTCTGGAAACTCTAGCTGTCTGGTCCTTTTGACTTTTACCTCCATCCCCTTACCCTAGGGAGTCCAGCAGCCTCTGCCTGGGTTTCCATCCAGGACAAGAGCGAGTCTCACCTCATTTGGCTCTCATCTTGCCTGGATCTCTGTTATCCATGGCCTGAAAATCAACTCATGAAGGTTCTTGTCTCATACAGTTGACTTTATTTTTATTTGTGTGTGTTAGTGTCAGGCAAAGGGGAAAATCTCTTCTTAGTGCTCCATCCTAGGCAGATGCAGCCTTCTTCAAACAACACATCCTCGTGTGTACTTCACGTGACTCCACAGTTCCTGACTGACAGACAAATGAGACACTGGAAGGCTGATGGTGGGAGCCCGCAGCTAGCCTGTCTCTGTCTTTGTGGACCCCGGTAGGAGGGTACACAGTCCTCGTCTCTTACAAAAGAGATTCTAATAGAATCTTTTCAGCATAGAGCATTACTCGAGGGTAATTGTATTATAAGCACTGCTGGGAATTATAATCGCAATTATGCCAATTTCGGTATTTACTGCCCAGGGTGGCGAGCACTTGAGCAACTAGAATTTATTAAGTGTAGCTACTTACACATTTCTCTGCTTTAGAAACACTACTTCCTATGGTATTTACTTTCAAAATGTCCAATAAGACATATATTCTTACAGAATGCTTTTTGTGCCTATTTTTCTCCAACAGAACAAAAAGGGGAAATGTGCCTCGTGTCTGGTTTTACCCATCTACCGGATAACCAGGCCTCTGGTAGTCCCTGAAAAAGATTTCCGAGAATGTACAACTGTAGCACCAGTGGGCATATGTGCCCATTACAGCAGCTCGTAGGGCTTACAGCTGGGTAAGACGATTGAACTTTTCTTCCTCCAATAGCATAAAGAGAACCTTCCAGTATTATGAAAGCTATTTTGTAGAGATAAAGCTTCCAGATTAGTACCAATTTGATTTCTCCATGTTCCACAACTCAAATATGTGGTGCCCTTCAGCAAGAGCGTCTTACCATCAGGTTTTCTAAGGTTAACCCAGATCTATGGTTATACCCTGAAATGCCTGTTGTGGGGAGAGACTATGGAACTCTACAGATCAACAGCTTGGAAGGAGGTAACCTAAATCTGATCCTGGGTTTTTATTTGGTAGCTTATGAGATCCCAATGTCTGGCATAGGTGTTAGCCTCTCTATGGTAGGGTAACTCTGACTGAAATTCCTTTGACAAATGTATCTGTCTCTATTTTAGAAAGCTTTTACAGAAACAGGTGTCCATATGGCATTTTCAAAGGTCTTTACTGTTATTCCCATATTCTCCCTCTACCCTACCTTCCCACACTCTACCCTACCTTCCTACACTCATTGAAGCCTTCCTGTTTCACGGTGGAATAATCCTTCTGTACACTGTGAATATGTATTACTTTCATTGGTTAATAAGAATCTGAGAGGCCAGTAGCCAGACAGGAAGTGTAGGCAGGACACCAGACACAGAGGACTCTGGGAGGAGAAAGGGTGGCATCAGGAGAGACACCAGCCAACCGCTGAGCAAGCAAGATGAATAGAAAATGAGGTAACAAGCCATGAACCACGTGGCAAAGCATAAACAATAAATATTGGTTAATTTAAATGTATGAGTTAGCTAATAACAAGCCTGAGCTATTGGCTGAGGCTCGTAGCAATATTAATATTAATAATATTAAGCTATATTAAGCCTCTGTGTTGGTTATCTAGAAGCAGATCCCAGGATAGGAAAATTCCACCTACACTGTTCTATTATTTCTCTTTCTCCTTCACGCTGCCTGTGTTCTAGCCTGCCTCCTTTGAAATCTCCTACCATTGCCCTTACTACTTTCTGGACTTCTATGGGTCAGAAAATTTAAAGATTCAAAGCTAGCATGCACATGTGAGAGAGAATACATAGTTTTGTCTTCCTGGATCTGGTTACCTCACCCAGGGCAACTGATACGAGGTCCATCCATTTACATAAAGTTTTCACCATCTCATTTTTGTCTTCTAGATGAATGAAATCCCATTGTGAGGTGTACCACATTTTCATTATCTCTTTGTCCATGGATGGACCTCTAGGCTGTTTTTACTTCCTCTTTCCTATGAACAAAGCAACAATGAACATGGATGAGAAGGTATTTCCATAGTAGGGTACAGAACCCTTTGGGTGTACATCCAGCAGGGGGATAACTCAATCATATGGTAGATCTGGCTTTACCCTTTGGAGGACCCTTTATACTGTTTTCCACAGGGGGTCACCCTTTTGCCCTCTAACCAGCAAGGATATATGTTCCTCTTTCCCCACATCATGTTTGCTCTTTAGGCTTCACAGTATGCATGATATATCTATCAATTATAAGAAAACACATATGCAATTGGTAAATACATACGATGAACTACAAATATGTCTAAAAGTCTTGCGTGTTATACAATTGATTTGGTTTTGGAAGCCCGTACACAATGGCATATACCATGCAGTCTAAGAATGAGACAGGATGTATTTTTTTTTAATTTTTTCCCTCTTGTGATCCCCTTTTGTCTGAGAAAATTTTTATGTAACTCTGAGTATTTAAGTGTATAAAGTAGATATTCAAAGCAAAGGTTTATTGATAATGAAATACACTTAGAAACAATTACTTGGCATACTTCTAATTTTACCATTCATTAGCGATGGGAGCAAAGCAGCCTACTAATGAGATAGAGGCATGCACTTGCTTTTGCACAAAGAATTAAATTTTGGCTGAGCATTTGATGCTGCCGGAAGCAGAGCATTTTCAATATTTTTCAGAGTTGACTGGTGTTTCAATTTTATAATCATACATACTGACAATGCTGCTTTGCATAAATTCATAGCACAAATGGCAGATGTGTATTCACAGCTACTTCAGAAATTGTTGGAAATTCTATCCTAAATTTAAGCCTTGGACTTTTTATGCAACTCAAGTAAGCCCCCTTAAACAGCAATTTTTGAAGTCAAACATTCCAATAGAATGCATTCTCAAAATATACTAACGTGATACCCACCTGCTAAGGAATGATGGTAAGAAAATATTAAATGTCTCGGTTTTCTGTAATTAAACCACTGTGTTTCTGTAAGAGCAGAAAACAAGCACTAACGTACTGTAAAAATTCTTCACGACATCACATGTGATATCCTAGAATCTGGGCTGAAGGATTCAGACAGCACTGGTTGGCATCGGGTTGCATGAGGCACATTTAGCGTAATGTGAGTAGCAGGTTGTGTGTTCAGAACCCCGACTGCAGGGAAGCTGTGTGCACTAACTGTGCCCAGCCCAGCCAGAAACACTCCAGATTCATTATGGGCTTGAGTCTGAACTTTTAGCTAGTTGTTGGGCTTTCAGAAACAGTTTTGTTGCCAGAATGTTCCCAACACCCACATCGAGTCATGTGACTCACAGTTTCAGGAGTTGGGTCATGGATCACCTAAGTTTCCATAAGTATACTCTTGTGAAAGTTATACAATGGAATCAACTGATGTTGTAATGGTTAAAATGTATCCCATCCTTAAGTGAGTGTTCAGATGTGTTCAGATGTGTCCTGATGTGTTCAGAGTCTCAAACCCCCACAAAGAGTTTTCAAAACCAGAACAAACACGGGAAGGCCAGGAGGAAGATATTGTTAGTAAGTACTATAAACTAACTTTAATGCTTATGGATACAATCACTCTAAGAAAACAAAACTAAACTAAACTAAAATTCCCAGCCTGAACATCCCCATTCCCTTCCTCATCAAGGCCCTTGGGTACCATTTCTAGTAACGCTGTAAACACACAGAAACTCCCTTCTTAAGAGTTTTCCTATGTTTCTTCTCCTCTGCACTTTATTCTCCTCACAGATACATAGATTTAAAGACATTGGCTGTGTGGCAAGGAATTTTTCATTTTTAACACAAATATTTACAGTTAACAGTCACATTGGAGCTGACAGAAAAACACACTGGGCAAATAATGTTTATGTCAGTCCACAGTATTTAAGGGTACAAAATAGTGTGATATAAGTGTGGCATTTATGTTTTTGTGTTTGTTTTTTTTTACACAAGGTTTCCCTGTGTAGCCCTGACTGCCCTGGAGACCAGACGGACCTTGAACTCAGAGATCCACCTGCCTTTGCCTTCCGGAGAGTTCTGCCCTCTCTCTCTCTCTCTCTCTCTCTCTCTCTCTCTCTCTCTCTCTCTCTCTCTCATTTTGTTGTTTTAGTCTCTGTAGCTTTGGAGCCTGTCCTGGAACTAGCTCTTGTAGACCAGGCTGGCCCCGAACTCACAGAGTTCCACCTGCCTCTGCCTCCTGCTGGGATTAAAGGCGAGCGACACCACCGCCCGGCTGGCGTTTATCTTTTTAAGAGAAAGTTTTACTGCAGTGAGGAATTCTCTCTTGGTCTGTCTCCCCTCCTTGTTCGGTGTTATCATTCATTTAAGTATGCAGCTTTTTGCCTTTACTTCAAATTTTAGTTTTTCCACTTCCCGTGGCCGTCGTCGGTTTTCTTGGTTGTTGCTATGGTTACATTAGCTCTGTTAGAAAGCAACTGATCTTCTAAGCATAATTCCCAATGTTGAAACTTTCATGAAACATTAACATTTAGCTTCTCACCAGGTCTAGAATGAAGAGAGGTGGCAAGCAGGTTGGTGTTTCTGCCGCACTGCAGTATGGGAGATGATCAATGAGAAGAGTTGATCCCCGCCCCACCACCACGTTCCCAAATTCAGTGGCCAGAACAGACTACTCCAAAGAACCAACGCAGTGGGAACCTCCCCCAGAGCCTAGGAATGGACAGCTCTGTCAGGCTGCCACTCCAGGTGTGGAACGAACACATTGCTCTTGTCTTTAGATCGGGACAGATTTTAGAAGTCAAGATGTTCTGACGCCTCTGTACGTTCAGGATGCAGTCCTGGCTGAGGCACATGCTGGGACACTTACGTCACGCTTTGACCTGAGCCCATATAGAGAGAACAGTCCCTGACGCCATGAATGTCACCCTACTCTCCTTGTACTGGAGAAAAGGAAAAGAAGAAGAAGAATTGAATCCTGGCCAGTTAATAATGCAGCCCATTGGTTTGTGCCAAAGACATTGAATCTGAGATTGATGTCTGTTCCCAACGAGGATCTGTGCCTTCAGGAAATGCAACGGCCCCTGCACCCCACACACCGTTTGTCTTTTAAGGCTCAGCTACCTTGAAGTCACCTCTCTATACCAGGGGCAACATCCCAAATTAGTCTTCATTCAGAAATTACCTCCGATGGAAGCGTTTTCCTCCCTGGGAAAACGTTCAACCTATTTAACTGGAGAGGAGCTGTTGCCAAGAAGTCAGCCTGGAGGATGACAGTAATTAAATGATGGTAATATTTAGGCTCCTGCAGGTGTAACAAAGGAGCCTTTCTTTGTCTCGGGTGGGGACATCTTGCTGGTGTCTGGGAAAGGAAGGAAGCAGGGGTGGGGGAGCCCTTGTGAGGGTGTGAGAAAGGAGAAGAAGGGCAGGGGAAGGTGGTTCCTGTGGGTGAAGGGAGAGAATGACGACGTCACCAGGGGGTGACAGAGACTTAATGCTCATCAGAGATGGGCCCTGTGGTGTTCCATCCCAAGACATTAGAAGAGGTGAGAGATGGAGCAAAGCCATTCTCCTTGTTAAATGGTTTACTGTCTGTGGAGGATGGACAAGGAGGGGTGGAGGTTTTCAGAAGGGAGAAGGCAGGGTGTATTTGAGCAAGTCTCCCGCTGGAAGCATAGTCTGTAGCAGCCTTCAGCTGTGGCCCCTTTTCACATTCTTGTCTTACTGAGAAGAAAGGCCTTGGAGATGGAAATTTAAGGCCTACTAAAAAGCCTTGTCTTTCTAGCCATGCCAGTCTCTAAACAATCACCCACCCATTAGAAAGGAAAGCTGCCCCCCTGTCAGGCAGCTTGCCCACCAGCCTGCATATCCCCGTGTGTATCAAGAAGGCAATGCCCACCCCAAGGGCCTGGATGTGGGAGCAGATCCCAGCTGTTTCATCGGCTGCTGTGTGTATTGGTCTCAAAGGTCAGGTTGATGCAGAATTCATAGTGATGGATACATCCTGCGAATCTCCTAAATAATGACATTTGTGTCACTTCCTTAAGCTAAAGAAGCCATGTCATCTGTTTGGCTCGACAAAGGGATAGGTTGAATGTGCAGCTTCCAGCTCAGGGCCAGGGTTCCAAGCCTGTGGGAAGAATTTGCATGCTTCCGTCATTCCTGCCTGAATGGGAAGAGTTCCATGCAGGCTCTAGTCCCAGATCAACCTCTCCGCGCACTGCTGAACTTGAACTCCAGCTAAGGCAGTTTGAACCTTGGCGAGTCTCTGTGGAGTCGAAACCTGTTAGGGTAGGAGAAAGGATCAAGCCAGGGGCAGGAGAAAAACAGAGAGGACTTAGACCATGGCATCTTCCCCTACTGAAGAAAAGCAAATTTGACATGGGGTGGATTTCACATCTAGAGCTGCCTGCCTTTGAAGTGGAATAGGGAAGGAGTGGGTAACTCCTGAAGGAAGGTGAGGGGAGGGAATATGAGGGAGCCTTATCTTGCTCCCAGGCCTCTTATTTGTTTGTCTGTTTGTTTGTTTTTTAAAGTCCCAGGTTCAGTTTTATTTCCTAATACAAGTCCAGTCTCTGGAACACTGAAAGGAACTGTTCCAAAGCTTAATTAAAACACAATTTACAAATAATTAATATCTTCTGAAAAGCACCTCCAAGTTCAGAATCAAAAAATATGTACATAATTTGTTTGTTTATTTAATTTTAAGGTTAAGACATATTCATTGTAGAAAACACACAAGGATCTTATGATGGAATTTGCATCCTAATAACAAGGTTAAAAGATAAAAAGCCCTAGTCTTTTGGAGGATTTCAGTGTTTAGTTGTAATTATACATCCTGCTTTTTCCCTCCTAGCAGTTATTTTGAGGGCATTTTCCAAGAACATTGCATCATCTGCAAAATCTTGCCCTTTTCAAAAGTAGCTGAGTCATATTCCACAGCGTGCATCACCTGCAGGCTGTTTGAGCATTTCCTGACGCTAGGTATTTAGATCAGCGTGGCTTCTTCTTTGCCATTCTATACAAGAAAAAACTCCAATGCTTGCTGTTTATGTGCAAGTAGGACTGCTAAATTTATTCTTGGTGTGCTTCTACAGCCTAGCAGGCAGAGTATCACCCTGGGCAGGCTATAGCATCCATCGGGTGGCTGGGTATCTTTGTATGTGTTTGTAGTATCTGTCCATGTATCAGTATATGGTGTCTCTTGTGTTTGTGCATGTAGTGCCTGCGTGTTTGTGTATCTCTGTGTGTTTGTGTAGGGTGCCTCTGTGTTTGTGTTTGGTATTTGGGTATTTGTGTTGTCTGGGTGTGTTTGTAGTGTCTATGTGTCCCTGTGTGTGGTATCTGTATGTTTATGTATGGCACCTCTGTATTTGTGGTGTCTATGTTTGTGTGTCTGGAATCATATGGAGGTTCCCAAGGGGGAGAAGGCACTATGACCTTGTCTCAGGGAGTCCCTTGTAGTTTGGATTTCTGGTTTCTGATCATCTAGATCCTAGAACCAATTTGCCCAGTAGCTGTGGTCACGCACAGGTGAGCAGTGGGTCCCTATTATAAGATACTTGTTGGCTGGCTTGCCAACAGTTCCTGGAGCTATAGGGAGGATGTAGACATAGGGAGGTCTAAGATTCTGTCATTTCCTCAAATTTCTAGGAGAGAGTTTCCTTAGTTCTTTGGAGAAAAGTAAATGTTCAGTTTTCTCTCTCTTCTGCTGCTTTCCCCAGGAACATCTAAGTGAAAGACCATAAGAGTTCTCCATGGTCCTGTGGAGAAAGACCCTAAGACCACAAAGGAAAGACTGGCTATGGATCCAGGAATGGGAAGTCAAAACACAGGTGGCATCTGCCCCCTGGTGCTAACTTCAAGTTGGCCACAATCACTGAGTCAAGTGAGGATAACACACTGACCTGGCTTCACGCACCCTCATCACATGCCTTTCTAATCAGTGTTCAGAGTCTGAGACTCTGACTGTTGACAGGCAATGGGACATCTCTATCACTGGGAAGTGCCATCTCTCAGTAAACAGGGACAGATTAACAATGGAGTTTGCGTGTCCCTATGTTAGTTGAGTCTAGTTCCTCACAGTTTGAAGCTAGGGCAGTAGGGCTCAGGGCCGGGTCTGAATGTGGCAAAGGCACCCCGGGGCCACCTGGTAACCACTTGTGACCTTCTCCACCTTCTTGTTGTACCCCTGTGAACTTGGTGCTGCTATTTGTGTGCCACCTTCCCTCTGACCAGCTCTAGCAAAGCCAGGGATTTGGGCAGGCCACACATAGACATGATGTCACCTCCCTTGAAATTGTGTATCAATTCTCTGACCTTTGTGCCAATGTCAGCAGAAATCCAATCTTTATTTGGAGTCTTCCATGTGTTCATGACTGCTTCTTTTGTGTGCATGTGTGTACATGTTCATGTGTTTGTGTGTGTAAGCCAAGTTTGACACCAAATGTCTTCCTCAATCACACAATGTTCTTTTTTATGAGCATATTTGTTTAGGAGGCCATCCTACTACAGGGTGACCTCATTATAATTAATTATAACTTCAATGATTCTATTTCCAAATAAGGTACATTCTGCAATACTGAGGACTGGGCTTCAGTCTATGAAATTTAAAAGAATATAGTTGGGCAATGAATGACACCCTTACTGATCATAGAGGGCATCCCTATATTTGTATTTAAATATGGAATTTTGAATAAGAAATTTAAATAGGAAAGATCTAAATAGCCAGCTATTAGGAACTCAGACTCCATATTCCAGGGGGTAAATAATAACTTCCTTGTGCATAGATGATGCTTATATGGACCTGTGATGACAGAGAGAGAGAGCCTGGGCCTGGCATGGGCTTTTGAAACCTCAAAGCCTACCCCTAGTGATATACTTCCTCCAACAAGGCCACACCTCTTAATTCTTCTCCAATAATGTCACTCCCTGATGACAAAGCATCCAGACATCAGAACCTCTGGGGGTGTTATTCTCCATTAAACCACCACGACTAAGGAAAAGTTTTTCCCACCTCCAAGATGTGTATATATTTACTATTTGGAGAGAGAATCCATGGGGTTTATTGTCGGGCTCTGTGATCAATCCCTCTTTCCTCGCTGGGGATGAAACCGTCATCCAAAAAGGGGACTATGAAGGGCTAAGGTTGCATCGTAAAAGGGAAAGAAGTTGGCGAACTTGGGCAGAAGTGTAAATACGAACCCTTGATCTTTGCACTCACCAAACAAATCAAGTCAAAATTCCTGGGTGGGGGTGTAGCTCAGTGATGGAGTGCTTGCCTAACCTGTGCATGGCCCCAGCCTTTATTCCTCACTGTCCAAAGTGTATAATATGTATCTCACCTCTCTGTCTTCTTAATACCACACCTCTTCTCTCTTTCCTGCTGGCTGCTTTTCCGTGTCTCCTCCCTACCTCAAGGTTTTCCCTATTGTTGGGAGGGAGGAGGAAGGCGGTTTCACCTGTATATTGTTGGGGTGGTGGGCGAGGGAAGTTTCAGCTGAGTGTAATTTGGGGAGGAGGTGACATTACTAGGTGTAGTGGCATTGCCTCATGGGACTTTCACCACTGCCCTGGAACCAGCATTCTCAGGACACCGCCCATCAGAAACTGGAGGTGGACCGACAAGGAGTCAGACCAGTGCAGCCGCACCCTAGCCTATTCCCCCAGGAAGATGTGGGAAGAAGGACCCGAGTACAAAGGGCTGTGTGCGCATCTGGGAGCTGGAAGGCCAGAGACTTGAGGAGGGGAAGGAGGGTGAGGCAGCTGTGACTCACGCTGAAAGAATTGGGGTGTTGGAGCTTATACATTGTCAAGGGCTGGAAAACAAACTTGGATGACCTCAGATTTAGCTAATGGGAATACTGGTTTCCTTTATGAAGTGCAGCCAAATTCATTTAATTTCTACTTCAGCGTTGTCAGCCAGTATTTTTCGGTTCTTATGGTAAAGCCCCGCCCCAGCTCTTTTGGTCACCTTTGGAGTTTCCCAGCAGCCCCTTTAAAAGGCTTTATCCAGTGGCAATGTCTTCATTCAGCTAGGCACCTGGATATTTATACCACTCCTAAGCATGTTTTCCACCTTCTTTCAGGGGAATAAAGGAAAATAACGGACCGTCATCCTTGCAGCGCCGGCTTATTGTCCCGTGTTTCCAGCACCGTGGTGTATATATGTTCCGCTCTCTGACAATCTGCCCCTAGGTTTACCTGTCCACCAACCATTCCTCCAAGCCCAGGGACGCCATTCATTAGCAGCGCAGTGGGAGGAACTCAGTAACAGCACAAAAGGCAAGCGGAG